TGCTGCTTTCAGCCTTAACTGTTTATTTTAGAAGGTGGGACATAACACTCTCATATGCTCGAAAATGTCAGATTTCATTATATGAACAAAAACACAAAAGTAGCAATATTAATAGCATTTAGACTTCTATACTGCTTTATATAGTGCTTTATAGCACTATAGTTTACAGAGTCAGCATATTGCCCCCAACAATTTTACCCACCTCAGAAGGATGGAAAGTTGAGTCAACCTTGAACCTCGTGAGATTTGAACTGCCAAATTGCAGGCAGGCAGTAGCCAGCAGTCAGCAGAACTAGCAGAACTAGCCTGCAGTACTGAACTCTAACCACGGCACCACCGTGGCTCATAGTAAAAATAATAACAGGGAAATGACAGATGAAAAAATATATTCAGAGATAAATAAAGTATAGCTTCTTAATAGTATTTTTCTACTCTGATCATCTCTTCCCTGGAAGTCCAGCTGCAGGTCTTATTTTGGTGAGGGTGAGGGTGAAGGTATTCCTGGAAGAAATGAGCCAAGACTGTATATCAAGAATATAAATATTCTGACTGGGAACCAGAGAAACTGTGGAATGAAATCAAAGAATTTGTTAGGGAAGAATATGAAAAGAAAAAAAAATCAAAGACCTAGGAAAGCATATTGGAGCTTCTCAGAAGTATTGCCAAGAAGATAATATAAAGAGAAGTGAAGAAAGACAACAATCTAATGAAGGAATTTAACAAAGGATTTCAGAGTGCTGTTAGAAGAGACAATATTATAACAATATCTGTAAAAACATAGAAACAGACATGGAAAAATAAGGAAAATCTTTCTAAGCTCTGAGCTTGGAAAGAGGTACCAACCTCAGACTGGCATACAAAAAGAGGCTAATAGACACCAGTTGCTTCAAGTAAGATCATATAAAGATCGAAAGAGTATATTAAAATTCTGTAAGACAGAGAAGTCAATATCTAAGATACCTTAGAAGAGATTTCCTACTTATCTCTAATACTAAAAGATGAAGTTAGATTAGATCATTAACAAGAGGGAAGGTCACAGGAATTGATGGGATATGTATAGAACTCTGTCAAGCAATACTACACAGTGGCCAACAGATTGAAAGAGGTCGATCTACCAACATAAAAGAAAACAGACTTAACAGTATACAAACCATTGTACAGCATCCTTAACTTCCGGCTAGCCAAATAATGCTTAATATCATCCAATACAAATGACAGTCCTACTTGGAAAGGAAGGTGACAGGCGCTAAAAAAGACCAAGGAAACTAGAATTCGCATATGGTTGGAAAAAATGACAAAGGAACATATAGATTTGAAACCAGATATTTTTTTATTGGGAATCTTACCTGATACATATAATAAAAACTTAAAGTATTTGATTGTAAATGTATTAACAGCAGCTAGGATTGTATTTGCTAAAAATTGGAAGAATGAGAAAATACCATTAGAAGAAGAAGTTATTAAGAAAATATTGGAATGTGCTGAAATGAGTAGATTGACATTTGAAATTAGAGAACAAGAAGATAAACAATTTTATGAAGTTTGGGATCTTTTTTATCAATGGTTAGATAATACAATATAATAATAAAATATTTAGAAATCTAGGAAATAATGAATATACATTTTTTGGGGGGGGGGTTGATAATATTTTTATAATATTTTATTAAGATAGACAGTATGATTTTATGATTTGTTAGAAAATAAATTAACTAAACTATAGTTATCTCGCTTAAGTATGAATTAGTAAAATTATAGTCAAATGATTGCTTAATAATGATATTAGGATATATAATT